TCAGCCCAGGAGCGTGGCCTCGATGCCATGCAAGCGGCTTCAAAACCGGGGTCTGGGCACAGCGGGCAGCGCAGACGCCTCGCTGCCTGGCCGAGCGGACACGCCGCTGGATGTCTGGGGCTTCCCAGAGGCCGCAGCCTGGGGGCCCATGCCACCGTGAGGGAGCGGCTCTCCCAGGGGCGGGGGCCTGCATGCCCACCTCCGCTCTCCCGGGGAGCCCCTGCCCTGAGAATATAACGTGACCCGTCCCCGCGAGACATTACAGGTGCGCCTCAGGGGCTCAGCGGCCATTCCCCCCAATTCCCGGGAGACGGGTGCCCAGGAACCCACAAGGGAAAAGGTCGGGAGCTCACTGATGAAAAGACAGGGTTACGAGGGCAGCGTCCCCTCTGATCAGGCTGGGGCGGGGGAGGGGCCCGGGGCCGCAGTGGCCACAGCAGCGACGAAGTCCCTGTGCTGAGCCCTGCGCCCTCTTCCGCACAGAGAGAGGCAGATGCCCACAGAACACCCCGGAGGCCGCAACTGAAAACCTTACTTCTCAGGGCTTGGGCTGCATGCGTCCCCGCGGAGAGCCACAGTCAAGCTTTTCCGAAGGCCTGACGTGCCCCTGTCCCCAGGCAGCCCCTGCTGCATCTCGGTGCTTTCTCCTCCCTCTGCCCGGAGCCCGGAGCCGCCCCCCGCGGGTGAGTCCCGCGCCTGGTCACACGGGCTCTGCAGCCCCACAGCTATTCCTGGAGGGAGGCAGCGCTGCCTGGAGTTTCTCTGGAATCAAAGGCTTTCTCTTTGATAAGATTACGGCGCTGCTGAGCCGCCCGCGCTCAGGTTCCCACGGGCCCCCAACGCACCGGCCAGGCTCTGGCTGCCTCGCCGCACATGCCGCAAGGGGCTCAGGCCCTGAAACCTGTGTCCCTCCCAGAAACGTGCCCACGGGCCTCCAGTGATAGGGCTTCCCAACCCCCCTGTCACGGCGTCAGCCGGTGGGAGTGTCTGCTGCGTGGAAGCCAGCACCACTTTGAGGGTCCCGCAGGGTGCCTGGGAGCCAGACGGGGATGTGGGGGGGCCTGACCGCCCCAATCATGACCCGTGGGCTCCAGCCAGCAGCCGTGGCTCCGCGAGAGCGTGGGGCCCGGAACAGCAAAGGCCGTGTCCGAGAGTGAAACATTTAATAAGGTAAAAATGAACACATCATATGTAGGGATGCATGTCCCTCTCCCCTCTCTCTTGCTCTCAGCAGTGACACCGAGTCTGAGGATGAAAAGGTATGAAAGCCCAATAATTTCTCAGTGGCATTTAAAATACAAAAGCTGGCAGGGAATCAGTGCTCAGTAAACACGGAATGAATGGACGGATGACAAATACAGTCTGGAAAGGACTTGGAGATCCCTCAGAGTAGAGGGCTCGCTAACGTTCTGCTTTGGAATTAGAAATTCGTTGTTTGAACGACGGCAACAAAGTTTAACTTTCACCCGCTACATCCCTCATCCTGCGCAGTTCGCCTAACCAGGGGACTCTTTCTTTCCCACGTGGGCTGTGTTGTTGGCAGACGAAGGCACAGGAGTTAGGCCGTGTGCAGGCAGGCGCAGGCTCTTTGGGAGTGACTGCAATTCACGTTTAAGGAACTGAGAGTGTTTGTCAGCCCAGCACCCGCGTCTCCCTCTCTTCCTTTACCACACGCTTCTCTCTTCCGGTTCCTGCCCAGAGCAGCTCCCCCACCGTCTCCCCTCGAGGGGGGTCCAACTGCCTGTATTTCCCGTGGATTTTTCTGCTTGGGACCATCAAAACCAACATATCTAAACTGGCTTTTAAAAACAAATCCGCTTTCTCTCACCTACGGTCACTCCCTTACTCACTTAACAGGCACTTCCTGAGAGCCCACCAGGCCGTAGGTACATGTGACGAGGCTGCTGTCCCCGGGGAACCTCCCAGGAAGGGCCAGGCAGGCAGGCCGTGCTGCTGGGCCCTCTAACTGGTCTGAACACAGTGCCCTGAGGGGGCCGGGGGTCCCAGGACGCCCGGGCGGCTTCCTGTCTGAAGGAGCTCCCTGTTTGTTCATTCATCTGTCACGCAGACCCTCCTTGGGAAATCACACGGCTGCATTCCACGCACTGCGCCGACTGACGTCCGGAGAACCGACGACCCGCGAGCTGGCCTGCCCACGAGAGGCTTCCAGAGCCGTGAGCGCCGCGCCCACGGTCTCCTCGAGTCCTGAGAACTCCCTGGGGTGCGCTGCGGAGCGGTCAGGCCTGAGCTCCCCGACGGCGCCTGGCCTTGGCTGCCCCAGCGCCCCACCCTGGCGCTCGCTCCCGAAGCCAGAACATGCCTGGGCTCCCGGAGGAGCAGCTCCGCCTGGTCCCCTCGCCCGCTCTGTGAACTGGCCTTTCTGCCACATCAGTCTTGCTCCACCGCGGTCCCCTTTTACTCAACTCCTCGCAGCGGCTCCCCAAGGAGCTGAGTCCAGGTTACCCGCTGCCCGGCCTTGGAGGGCCCCCGCTGGCCTCTGTCTGAATTAGAAAAAGCCACCCCTTTGGGGCACAGTTAGGCAAGGGGACGTTGCACGGAGAAGTAGCCCTTTCTTCCAGAAGGTGCGGGGGCCAGCGCCCGCTCCCGGCCGGGCCAGCGCCCACTGTCCTCGAAGGCCCTGGGGCCTCCACGTCACTGCACACTCTCTCCTCTCCCACTGCGTCCTCCCTTCCTCCCCAGTCCCCGCCTGCTCCCCCGGACGCTCCAGCGCCTCCTCCCCGCCGCCCACCCTTCCCTCAAGGTTTCTTTCTTATGATTCTGCAACGCTGGAGGACTTAGGGGCTGGCCGGTCACCCGCCTGGCCCTGAACACATGTGAGAATTCCCCATGGGACAGGGTAGCGTCGGTCTCGTTTCCCCTGCGGGAGGGAGGGGTTTGTGGGGGTGGCAATGTAGTCAATAGTGTAATGATCACAGGGACCTAAGAAAAAAAGAAAAGATTTCCCAAAGACCCCCAGTGGGTCCGTGGGCTCTGGGAAAGGAGTGCTGAGTGAGCCCCTTGGTCTGGTTTGGGTTCCTAACACTGGGAAACAGTACGACTCAGTTTCTCCCCAGAGTTCGCGGCCCCTTCGTGTCTCTGAGTGGGTTTTGCAGCTCCCAGAGCGTCACAGCCCGAGGCCGTCCAGGAATTCCCAAACCCCACCATGAGAAGTTTACTTCCTGGCCGAGAGCCGTCACTTCTCAGGCCTCTTGGTGTCCTCTTTCCTTCCTTTACCGGCGCTCACCGTGGCTGTTCTACGCTCCGGCGTTCCGGCAAAGCAATTTCAAAAGCTGCCGCTGCGCCCACGCCGCAGGGCCCTGGGGCGGGCTCGGGCGCCCTGACAGGGCAGGCCCCCCACCACTTCCTGCGCACGCGCGAGTTGCTGTGCCGGCTGGACAGCCTTCTCCTCCCCGCCCCTCACCCAACGCACACACAGGAAGTAGCTCAGGTGACAGTCGCAACCCGGGGAGAAGAACCGGCCTGTGAGGCGGAGCCCCCGGACCCCCGAGAACAAGATTCCCACCACGCGGGGCCCGCCAGCAGCGGGGAGCCTGGAAGCCGAGCCCTGCCCCGCGCTTGCCCTGTGCATTTCCGCGTGAGACCAGACAGGTGCCAGGTCAGGCTGCGCCCTGGCCCAGAGCCGGAGGCCCCTGCACTCTCCCAGCAGAGGGGCCCCCTCCCGGGAGCCTTCCCCAGGCCGGGCCGCGGGCGTCTCAGGCTCCCGCCCAGAGGGAGGCCGGGTGCTCCAAGCAGGAGGCCCTCGAGTGACGCGCGAACACCATCTGCTGAGTGTGGCTGAGCGGCACCTCCTCCAGCCCCCGCCCCCAATCTGCCTCAGGTTCCCTGATGTACCAAAGGGTCTCTGGAGGGTCCCTCTGAGACTCTGGTGGACCTTGCCGTCCCCCAGCCTCCCGAAGGCAAGCCCTGTCCCTTGGAGACAGCTGGTTGGGCTGGGTGTCTGAACGCAGGACGTCTGCCCGGGACCGGCCTGTGGCCCCATGGAGAAGCCACAGAGCCGTGGGCCACCCAGGGGCTACCTTCACGCCAACCAGGGCTCCAGGGTAGAGACCGGAGCGGGGCGAGGCGGCAGGAACCTGCCAGAGGTGACCGCCGCCTGGGTTCTCTTTTTGAAGAGGACGGGAATCACCTGAGAAACCATCGAGCATGTGTACTTTCTCTTTTCTTCTTTTCAAAACCCCCAGGCCCTGCTCAGATGGACTTAGGGGTAAATGTCAGGTCTCAGTTTCAAGGGAGAAACCTTGGGAAGCCTCAAGACGCGGAACAGGGTGGGGGCGGGGGCAGAGGGACACCCAGCTGCTCCTCCGTGCAGGGGGGTTTCCAAGCCCCCGAGGTTGGAACGGTACCAGAAAAATCCCGGCCCAAGAAGCAGGGTGGCGCGGGGGCGGGGGGGCGGGCTCGCCCGGGTGCCCCCCACAGATACGGCCAGCACACCCCGTACACCCAGGGACAAGCAAGGAGTGCAAAGTTTTATCAGAAATAGTGCTACCCGCCCACAAGGGGAGCTTTGCCGAGAGTTGTGAAAGGTATGAGAGCCCGCGGGACTCAGGACGCAGGGGGACCCCCGGGCCGTGAACAGTTCCAGCCCCTGGCGGAAGGGGAGCTGCCGGCCCCGCTTCCCCTCCGGTGCCCGGCTCCAGACACAGGGGCTTCTGCTTCCTGGAGGGAGGGCTGGGCTCCCAGAGTGCCCGTTCCCAGAGTTGGCTGTGCCCGGCCGTTTTGTCCTCAGCATGCAAGTCCCTCTCCCAAGTGCCTGGACCCTAGAAGGCCCCCCCACCGGCCCTTTGCCGCCCTCCTCCCCACCCCCACTCCCGACCTGCCCCAGGGGCCTCTCAGGGGGGAGGCGCGTGGCCCCAGGTTGCCCAGGCCGGCGGGCATCGCCCTTCTCCCAGGCAGCCACGGGGCGGCCCACGCGCCCCGCTCCCCTGCGCGGAGGGCAGCTGCCGGGCCCCTCCCGCCCACCCGCGCCCGCCAGGCCGTACCTCCATGTCCCCCAGGTGCCACTCCGCGCCTCCGCCCGGGCTCACGGTGCTGCTGTCCCTGCTTCCTGCCCGCCTGGTCCCAGGCTGCGGCCAGCGCAGGGCGAGTGGGCGCCGGCCGGTTGCTGCAGGACAGCCGGCCTCCGGGCGAGGACAGGAGGGAGGGGGAGGGGGAAGGGGGGGGAGGAGCAGGGGGAGGAGGAGGTGCAGAGGGAGGGGGAGGAGGAGGAGCAGGGGAGGGAGGCCAGCCATCAGGGTTTAAATTTAGACACAAATCTAAACAGATACTGTCCCCTCCCAGGGCAGGACCGAGCGAGGGAGCCACCTCGCTCCGTCCATGTGCCCAAACATGGGATGGCACAGCCGCCTGGCGCGTCTCTCTCAAGAAGTGTGTCCGGGACCCTGGCCTTTGCCCCGGCCTCAGCCCCCCTTAACCTCTCCCTCCTTTAACGCGCCTTCTTCCTTTTCCTCCCTTAGGGTTAGAGTTGTTCCTCCCTTCTTTGATCTCCCCTCCTTTGCCGCTGCCTTCCCAGCCCTCTCTCCTTCTCCCCCTTTATTACTCTCATGTCCTACCTGGTTTCCCGGGGGTCCCGGCCGGAGGGCGCGGCCCGCCCACCGCTGCCTGAGCCGACTCCTGGCCCGGAGCCGCGGCGCACGCGCTCCCTGACTGCGGGAGGGCCAGGACCCTTGCCCCTCTCATCCCTTCACTTCCCTACCTCCCGGTCTCCACAATCAACCTGTCTATCTCTCATCTGCAGTCGGGAGGAGGAGGAAGAGGAGGAGGAGATAAAAAACAAGGTATCCCAAGCAGAGCTCTCTAAGTAAGCTCCCTGCAGTAGTAAACCTCTTCTCCTTTCCTTGACTGATGCGTTCAGTTCTGATGGAATTTCAGCCCCCACCAGCCGCTGGCCGAAGAGCCTCTTCTCTGTCCCTGCGCAAGGGAGGAAGGGTGCCATCCTGGCTCTGGCTCTCGGAGTCCCAGGAGGCCCAGCCCAGCCTCCCTCCCCCTGGGCCATCCCGGCCAACACGGGCTGCAAAGAGGCTGAAGAACAAGGCTGTGTGCGCGGGAGGGGTTCGGCCTGGAATCTGGAGCGGCCTCTTTCTCTGCTTCCCGTTCCCAGGCTGGCCACCAGCCCCGGCAGGGAGGAGGCAGGGACCCGCCTTCTGACCCTCGTGTGTGGCAGCCTCTGCTGGTCCTGCAGCACCCTGGTGCCCCCCCATCCCCAAGCCCTGAGCCCGCCCCCCACCACAGGCACACAAAGGGGGAGCCACCCCAGGGCCAGAGGGTGGGGATGGGGCCGGGGGAGGGCGGGTGCGGGGCTGGGAGAGGCTGGGGCTACAAAGAACTGCCTGGAGTCAGCTCCCCGGCTGTGTTTCCTCAGGCGAGAGGCCTGACCTCTCTGATCCCTGTTTCCCTCACTATGCAGTTCAGTAGAGGCTCTGAAAAGAGCAGCTTTTTGGAATACTTAGCCCCACGTACAAGCTCAAATGAATGGGGGTCTGATATTTCTTGTATTAAGAGCTGGGCACTCTGGGCTCTGCCCCCAGGAACGACTGGCGAGCCCCGCCTCCACCGCCACCCAGTCCAGCCACCCGGCTGCCTGCAGCGGGGCGAGCGCGGGTGGAGGGGCCCGGGAAGGGGGTTCTCCTGGAGCCCGACGGTACGCGCCTGAGCTTGCGGTTTGTTTCCCTTTTTCTCACGGAGGCGCAGGATGGAGCTGGTGTGGCCCCTGCCTCCAGCCCTGGCTGCCTCCGCGGGGCCCTCCCTGGTGCTCGGAGTCGGGCAGCCCCGGCCCAGGTTTCTGGCGTCACCAACAGGAGAGCGGAAGTGCCTCCGCAGAGGAAACCGTTAGGCCCCGATAGCATCGCTGCCCTCCCGGGCGGCTGACAGGTGCGCCCTGAGCCTGGGTACCCAGGCCAGGCTGCCGCCGCCCAGTGCCCGCCCAGGCAGAGGCTTCCTGGGGCGGTGAGGAGAGGAAATGGGGGGAGGGGGCCCTGGCCCAAGCTCAGGTTCAGCAGCCGTGGGAAGGCGTGGGGCCACGTTCGCCTTCCCTCCCCCTCCTGCCCCCCAGGAGATCCCTGGAAGCCAGATCAGAGATAACACCTCTAGTAAACACCCATTTTTTGCGGGGTCCCCCGAGATTGTGACTCCCGGCTCTGTGGGCTGTGGGGGCTGACAGCCCAAAGGGAAGGGAAAGTGTCCCCGGGGCGCAGCCCCTCCCACTCTGGGGGTCTGGCTGGCCTCCCTGCCCCTCTTCCCAGCCCCTGGTAGTCAGAACCAGCCAGGCAGCGAGCAGAGGCCAGCGCCGAACAGCCCGCAGGGGCAGCTCCCGGGCGGGTGGGCGGCCCACGGTGCCGACAGCCCCAGACCCCCCCTCCCCGGGCCTCCAGTGGGAGAGGAGGCCCCGCCTTGGCCGGGCGGCGGCTCCCTTCGCGGTCCAGCAGGGCTGCCCCGCGCTCCCACCGGCTCTCGGCGGGCGCTCGCGCTGTGCTGCTCCCCGCCCGCCTTCCAAAGTAAGAGCAAGAAGCAAGTCTTCTTTCACGACTACAAATTCTAACGTTAGAACATGTACGTAGTATGTCGGCCCTGAATCCTGGGGGGGTGGCAAAAACAAAGTAAAACGGCTCCGTCCACCGCAAGCGACGGGCACTGAGGGACAGCGCTGAAACCTCAGGAAGGGACGCGCCAGGCTTGGCATGGCTCTGTGTTTAGGGATGGAAACGCGGGGGCGGGGGGGGGGGCTCCCGCGGTGCCCCGGCCCCTCACGGTGCCCGGAAACGCCGGGCGCCACGGGGGAAGGCAGTCCTCGGCGTGACTGCTCTGTAATCTCCACAAGCGCGAGGTCAGAGAGGTCAGGCAGGCGGAGGGGGTGGTAGGCCAGAGACGAGAGCCACACGACGACCGGGCCCGCCGCGCGTCCGGGCTGGCTTCTTCGATTCCAGGTTGTAGTGCAGGAATGACGCGTGATGTGGCCGTATATCAGTCCTCACAGGGCGTGCTCCATCCGGCACGTTTATTTGTCAGCTATACCTCAAGAAAGCTGGGGGGAAAAGAGAAATGATTGAGTAATTGGCAAAACAAAACAACAACAACAAAAACTATTAGAATAGCCACTAAGTAATCCTGGGAGAAGGGTCCATGGAGTTAGCTCTTTGTACGAATCTTACGACTTTCCTCAACGTTTAAAATTTGTTCAAATTACGAAGTTAAGAACCAAACTTGGGGCGGGGGATAAGAATCGAGCCTTCCAGTTCTTTGATTCCAGACGACTCCCTACCCAGTCCCTTTGTCGCCTGTTCTTCCCACCCCACCCCACCCCACCCCACCCCGGGAGACCCACAGGATGGGCTGGGGGGCCTGGCGGCACTGGTGACCGAGGGGGCAACAAGCAGAGAGAGAGCCCAGTCCCAGTCTGCTGGGCCGATAGAGGATGGAGACAGGAAGGGAAGGCGACTGAAACCTTCCCTTATATAAACGTCTTTGTGTTGTTTCCGTGGTTGCAGTAAACTCTAGAGGAGAGCTGCAATTTAGAAAGAAAGAAAAAGGAAGGAAGGAAGGGAGGAAGGGAGAGAGGGAGGGAGAGAGGGAGGGAGGGAGGGAGGGAGGGAGGGAGGGAGGGAGGGAGGGAGGAGAAGGCACTTGGCCGGGTCCCCGCGGAAGAGGCTGGTGCCCACAGCTGAGAGAGGGCCGCCGCCGGGGGGCTTCCTGGGACGGCTGGAGGTGGGGAGGGCCTGGTCAGGAGGTACACCAGTCAGTCACCAAGGAGAAGAGATAAGGGTGATGAAAAAACCAAAGGGGGTGGCCCAGAGACGCCCCTCCCCTTGCGAGGCACACCCTGGGTTCAGGAGTGGGAGTGAGCCGCAGCCCCAAGGAAGCGCGAGCCTTTTCCAGCCCAGAAAAGCGAGTGGCACAGCACACCTGAGCGTGTGCCGGTCCTGCGTGAATCAGACCGGCCCAGGGAGGTCTGAAGAGAAGGCCAAGGCCGGGGCCCCACCCAGGCCAGCAGGGGGCGACCCCCAGACCCTGGGGCCAGGGCCTTTTTTCAGCTCCGGGAAAGTGGCAAACCCAGAAGAGTCTAAGCCCACGGTGGGGGGCACTATTCCCCTTGCCAAGAACTAGCTTGGGGACGGACAGGACTTGAACCCCTTCCCCAGCTGCTCCCACCTGCGGGCAGTTGGCCAGCCCTCCCCGCACCGCGTCACCTCGCCGCGGGGCTGCGGTTGTGGAGCGCACCCTTGTCAGTTCCACACAGACGTCTTCATTCCCCCCTTCTGCTTTCCCACCTGGGGTCGTGTTTGAGGCTTTTGAAGATTTTCCCTTCTTGGCGTATCTAATACTCTTTCCTGGGCCCACAAAGAAAGGGCTCTCTCTCCTACCATCGTGTCATTTATTTGAAAAGGCAATCGATAAATGACAGGCCCTCGAACGTTTGAATCACAAGGTGAACTACGTGCTAGATGTACAACTGGCTGTGCTGGGTCCTGACCGGAGCAGAGGGTTCAGGGAAGGGCTGGGGGCAACGGGGAGAGGAAGCTGGCCTAGCGGCTCGGTGGGGACGCGCGGGCGGGCTCAGGCTGGGAGGCCCGCGAGCTTGGGGCGGGGAGGGGCATGAGCGTTGCTGGGGGTCACTGCAGACCGGCCGCTCCCACGGGACCCTCGTAGCCCGTGGAGCAGGCGTTCGGCCTGCAGCCCTGCCCTCTTGGCTCCTCGCGTGTCTGGGAACACGTTCTGCTCGGTATTCGCCTCCGTAAAAATAGATGATATTTGCATTTTTGAAGCTAATTGAACGCAGACAGAGTTGCTTCTGGTTTGTATTTTCTGTTTCTGTTTCCTTCGTTGCACAGGGTGGGGGCTTTTAAACAGCAACAGAGAGACAGAGGTGGGCTGGGAATGAGCAGCGGAGGAGACGAGACAGCGCTTTGCCTCAGAGACCGTGCGGGCGAAGGGGCCCGCTGGGCGCCGGGGGCTCGGGGACCCACACTGCCCCGTGTGCTCTCTAAAGGGCGCAGTGGGTTCACCATTCTTAGTTCCTTCTTTGATGCTAATCCTCATCCGTCCCCCGAGGATGTGGTACGGACTCCTCGTCAGCGTGACCGTAAATCTAAAACCAGCACAAAGTGGGCAAAGCCCTGGAGCTGACCTCGCGCAGCCCTGCTGGCGGTGGAGC